AAAAAAAAAAAAAAAAAAAGGACATGGAGGAACCTTAAATGCATTTTGCTAAGTTAAAGAAGTCAATCTGAGAAAGGTGCATGCTCTATATATTTCCAACTATATGACATTTTTTAAACAGGTAAAACTATAGAAATTAGTAAAATGTCTATTACGTAAAAGATTAGCGGTTAGCAGGGGTTTGGGGGTGGGAGGGGAGAGATGAATAGGCAACATAGGGGGATTTTCAGGATGGGGAGAACGATTCAGTGTGAAACTAATGGTGAATACATGACATTTGGGGTTTGTGAAAACTCATGGAACTTTAAAACGTGAATGAACCTAATGTATCAATATTCGTTCATTAGTTATAACAGATGGTACCACACTAATGCAAGATGTTACAGGGGAAATGGTGGGGGTAGAGAGGGGGATGTATATAGAACTCTGCAATTTCCTCAGTCCTGTGAATCTAACACTTTAAAAAGCATATACATGTTTCAAAAGCTATAGGCTCCCTTTTCCTCTTTCAATCAAGAGTTAGGAAAAAGCAGGTGACTGAGAGAAATTACATTCCTATCTGTTCATCTGCTGGATTCAGGTATCTTGAAAGAAATACCCAAGCAAGAGAAGTATGTAAGGACATTAGTGATTGTAAGTCTCCATAAGGAGGTCTCAGAAACTTTCTGGTCTCCAGGTAAGTGTAATTTTAAATCATAAGCTCTAATACCTTGAGGGTAGACTGTAAGGTCGTTGTAATATAATATAACCCTGGATTCCACATTCTCATGAGCTGAGAGTACTCAGGAATTAATGGACAATCCAGCAAAAATCGGTTCACAGCAACCCTAGAGAAGCTTTTTCCAGCTACATCCTTATACTAGGCACTAGTACAAGATAGTATTTTGGATTGAGAATCAACCTTTCATTATTTTCCTGTGCCATTTGAGATTAAACAAGTTTGGGGGAGCAGCTGAGTCCCTGGCATTAGATTCTAAGGCCTTGTGACCCATAGCTCTGTCTGCCAGTTTTGTAGCAGCTTAGAGTGGCAGTGGTGAATGGGTTATATTTGTTTGTCTGTGTTTAATAGTCTTCCATTGTTGGTTGAAAAAGACTCCACACTGCCTAGAAGAGCAAGCTTGAGGCTTGACACAAGAGTTGCCCAGTTCACTCTTTCCCATTTATCTAGAGTACCGTAATCCAATCTGACTTTACAGCAGGTCAGCAAACTGATCCAGCCTACCTCCAATTTTTGTATAGCCTTCAAGCTAGGAGTGGTTTTTACATTTCTAAGTGGTTGGGGGAAAAAAAGCCAAAAGAATAATGTTTCACAACTTGTGAAAATTATATGAAATTTAAATTTCAGTGTCCATATAAAGTTCACTTGGAACATAGCCACATACATTTGTTTACAGATTTTCTGTGGTTGCTTTCTCACGATAACAGGAGCATTCAAGAATTGTGAAAGAGATTGTATGGGCCACAGAG